AAAAAATGATTGTTCTTCTAACCTAAAAGTCTTAATTTTTTTCCTATTAGTAGTCCATAAACTTATTTATATTTTTAGAGCTCCTGAATACCAAAAACTAGGACAAAGTGATCTTTTTGTGACTTTCAAATCGGGAGTCTTTTTTTGGACTCCACATCCCTGCCTCTCGTCAAATTATGCGCATATGGTTTTGACACAAGTACCTGTGGATGGAAAGAAGTCTTCTTAACTGGCCACAGTCAAAGAGTTGTACAAGATAAGTACTTCTCTGATTGTTTGGAGATCCTCAGTGGAGTTCTGCAAGGTTCTATACTGGGGCTTCTCCTCTTTGTGATCTTTATTAACGACATACCAGGCCTCACTCATCATGTTTGTATGCTGGTTGCCAAGTGCAAAACTATGTTCTTTGGCAAAAAAGTTAACAACCGTTTTAACACCACTTTTATTGACAATCTACCAGGTTCAAAAATAATCTTTACCATGACTGACCACCTTGGCAACAACCACAGCCTTGGCAAGACCAGCTTTGAGCGGGACTTCATCATCATTGTCAACGACCAACTCAAGTGGCAAGATTAAGTGACGCATGCTGATGCTAAGTCTAACATGGGGCTAAGTATGTTAACCCCATGTTAGACCCCATGTTAACCCCATGTTAAAAAGAACCTCCACTATTGGGATATTAATAGGTATTGTATACTTAACACAACTTATATACAACCATATCTTGTGTTCTGTTCTTCTGCATGGAACCCTTATTACCGTCAAGACATTAAGGCTCTTGAAGCAGTGCAAAAAAGAGTCACTGAGTTCATGCCTCATTTCAGGCCCTTCAAGTATCTTCAAAGACCACTATAAATATTCAATCTCTAAAAAACAAAAAGATACGCATTTTTCTAAATGTTTATTACAAGAAAAAAAGAAATGAAATTTATCATAGCGGGGCTTTGTTAGTTGCCTTGCTTGCGAATGCTTTTTATAAATTACTTATACTATTATCATTGTTATTATTATTATTATTATTATTATTATTATTATTATTATTATTATTATTATTATTATCATTATTATTATCATACTTCCACCTTTCAAAAAAAGCTTTTTTTATTTTGTTTATTTATGGTAAGGCTTCTATAGTTCAGTTTTATTATAAATAAGGCTTAGACAGAAGTCTTTTAACATGATGTCGGCGATTTCTAGTATCTGGTAAGTTCTGAGTAGTAGTGTCACTAGGGCTTTGAGTTATGAGGGGAGGGGGCAATTTCTATATGGGATCATCCATAAAGTACATATGCTCAAATGGGAAAGAGGGGATCTCAAAGGGTGTATATGAGATGGGGGGGTATAGGGTCAATTATACAAGTAAGGAGACACTAAATTAAAAAAAAATTATAAAAAATTAGGTAGGTAGCTTAATAGCGTAGGTACTTTTAAAAATGTGGTGGGTACTCAAAAAAGTATATAGAAAAAAGGGTGATCATCCACTTTATGGATGACCCCTATTTGTTGTTGTTTTATTAGAAGAAGGTAAATCATTAGTAGCAGATGCAAAATGGCAATCATTTGTTGATTTCAGGTTATTTTCATCAGCCCCTATGTTATTGTTAGTATTCATAGCTGTGGTACTATCCTATTTGGGTAGGAAAGACACTTCAAAGCTTTCAAGTGGTTGAACTACTTCTTAAATGCGGGGATTTGCAATTGTGCTAAGTATCATGTTGATACAGTGTCAACTCTGACATTTGTATATTTTGAACACATAGTGAGATGACATAGTTTTAAGCAAGGTAACCTGTTCTTCCAGTGGATCTCCTTACAATTGTTGGTAACTTTTGTGCAAGACAGTATTACCAGAGTCTACTAGAAAGTTTGGTAAATCAATTTGTAGCTGTGCATAGTAATAATTTAATGTAGGATAAAGATGCAGGAAGTACCAGTTCTCAGTCAGTTTTTTATAGCTCAAAACTTTGTAAGGCCAAGTTTATTGTTTTCATGATGGTAGAGTTTGGTCTTTTACATTGACTATTTTCTTGTGGTCAATAAGGTGTTGTTCTAGTTTTGTTGACACCATTGTCCATAAGGAAGTTTTTAAGTTTTTTTCTTTCAAACTGTGTACCTCATGGAGTTGATGCAGAAAGGTACACACTTATCATTTTTCATTTTCATATTAAAGTCATTTGCTGCTACTTTAAATGTTGTGAAGTTTTTTCTGCAATGTTCTTCTTGGTTGAACATATAATAACATTATCTAGATAAGGGTTTTTTCTAGTTTTTATTCTGAGATAAAGTCATTTATGATACATTGAAAGATGGCTACAGCATTTGTGCATCCAAATGGGAGTTCTTAAACTCCATACAATTTTCCATTTGCCTCAAAAGTATCAAGTGGATAATCTTTCTCTTTAAGTGGAATTTGGTGAGGCATTTTTAAATTATAATATTTTACTAAATATACTGTTTATCTATTCTAGGACAAGGATAAGAGTCCAGAGGAGTATGTATGTTTACAGTGTTTAAATTGAATTCAAATTGCTAAATGAGGTTTTTTTTGATAGGTTTGTAATAAAACATTGTTATCAAAGCGACAAAGCAATTCCGAGGGGCTCTAACGTAAAGGAGCTCTCAAGGATCTTTGACTAATATGAGTAATATCATTATTTAGGAGGCAAGTAATTTCAATATTTATAAAGTCTGCATTTCGATTGTATTGTTTATAAGGTGTTGCAAACGGGATGAATTGAGTCTTGTCCATTTCAGGAATAAGATCATATAGTTTAAGTTTCATTGAAGAAAGTGTAAGACAAAAATGGATTGGTTTGAGTTTTCCTCCAAAATAAAGTGTAAGAGCTGAGTGTTTATTGAGAATGTTTATACCAATGATAAGAGGTGAAACAAATTGTCTTCCCAAAAAAAATTTACTGGAATAATAGTGCTTATGTATAATAAAAGTACCATTATATTGGCCAATAATTTTTGCTGGTGAATTACCAGCAAGACAAATTGTTTTTTTGATATTCTTGTTGCAATTAATGTTATTATCTGACATAAACTTTAGGTAAATAAAAGATAGTCAGATGATGATTAAAAATTCAGAAGATCGATTAAAAGAGCCTGATTAAATAAGGACTAGCGCTGGTATTTCAATAATTGTGGCATTTATAAGGCTTGATTTTTGATTTATAGAGGTTAAAATTGTAGCATGTTATCTTGATCTACGTTGTTACTTTCAAATGTGTTACTGCACCCTTTATATGTGTTTTATTTGGATACTTTGGTTTTAATTTAGTTAACTTGTTGTTTTAACAGACAGCTGGGCAGTGTTCTTTTTTTCTGCAGGTGTTACATAATGAATTTCAAACTTTGCATTGCACTCTGTCATTTCATTGGCTTCCACACAAAATACAAGAGAGTTTTGTAGCAGCAAATTTAGGATGTTGTTAATGTTGAGAAAAAGTGCCTTCATTTGCTGAGAAAAAGTGCCTCCGTTTGCTAATGTTGAGAAAAGTGCCTTCTTTTGCAAGTTTCATAGTTGTTGCTGTGAGTAAAAGTTTTTCTAGTGAGTCACAGAATGATTCTAGTTGGCACAGAAAAATTATTAGAGATATTAATCCAGCTGCAAATCACTAAAAAACATTTCTTTATGCTCATTTGTGATTAATGGTTTTCAATGGCTACTATTATTACTACTATGGTTTGTAGTTTCTCCATAAATTGGTCAACAAATTCTGGTTCAAATTGTTTAGTAGATCTTTACTTGTGATGCATCAATATTGATTTAGTTTTTTTTGAAAATTTTTTATCAGAATTTTTAGTGCATCTACAAAGTTTATTTAATTCTCAATAAGTGGAAAAGATTTAGCACCACATAGAACAAATAAGACATCTAGTTTATCTACATCTGTTATATTAGCTTTTATGATATTTATTTTAATATTGTTAAGACTTATTAAATTTATTTTTAAAAACAAAAAAGCAGCAAAACTTGTGAGTTGACATTAAATGTTATTTTAAAATTGAGAAAATTTAAAAAATAAAAATTTAATTAAAACTAATTATGCCATAACATTCAAAAAAACACATCATTATGTTTATTTATCATAACACCTTTCACTGCTTTTTTAAAATATTTTGCTTTCACTCTTTTTTGATCTTTTTTTTTTTTTTTTTTTTTTTTGCAACAGAGGTACATATCAGATTTCATAAACAAATAAATGCATGACCAACTCGTGCATTTTTGTTTTTCTTGTTAGCACTCTCAGACAAAGAACCTATCAAATACTTAAAATACCTTATAAAAGAAGCCCTATGAACTATCATTCTATGCACAGATTGTGACATAGGTATGATTTTTAAAAATGTATCATTAGTAATTAGTGCAAAAAGATGTTTAGATTTCTGAATGAAAATCTATATTTCTGGTCTTGTAGTTGTGCATCAATGAGTAAGTTTTAAAGTAACTTAACCATTCTGATTTTAGTGCTTTCTCTGGTACACTATGAATAATAAAAAAATATATTAAAACATATATACAACACCAACAAAAATATCAAATTTAGAAGAGGTTTAGTGAAACATAGTAAAACAATATATATATATATATATATATATATATATATATATATATATATATATATATATATATATATATATATATATATATATATATATATATATATATATATATATATATATATATATATATATATTTCAGTGGACCTATATAGGCAATTTGAGCAGACCACTGTACTTTTGCTCTAAGGTATTCTCTAGTATCTGTTTTTCAGTACTTCCAATGTTACAAAAAATTTTTAAGCAATATTGTATAAACGTTGAATGTAGTTTGATTTAATGTTATTTTTTATTTGATTTTATTTTTTTTAATTGTGTGAGTTCCAAGGATTCCAGCATATTTGACCATAAAATTCATACACATAATATGATATAGATAATTTGTATTTATTATAATTTATGTGTTAAAACTGCATTTTTAATTTTTTTAGCTCAAAGTTTTTGCCACCCAAATCCTTGTCGAAACAATGGTTATTGTTATGAAAAAGGATCTACTTTTGAATGTTCTTGTGAGTTTGGATTTAAAGGTCCAACATGTGCATGTATGTTTTTAAAATAATTCTTAAAATTTAATTTATAAACAGTTGGTTCAGGAGTAAATTTTGGATTTATGACAAACATTGAAAATATATATTTTTTATTTTAGTAAATTCATTTTGCCATCCAATTGATCCATGTCAAAATGGTGGTTTGTGTAGCGAAGATGACTCAACATACAAATGCTCTTGTGCTAAAGGGTACTCAGGAACAAATTGTGAAGGTTGCTACCCTTATTCAATTGTTATATTCTTATAATTTCTTAGTTGTTTTTAAGAAAATGTCTATGAAATTTCATTTACATATTTTTTTTTTTTTACATTTTACAGTTATTCTAAAATGTTTTTTTTTTTTTGGTTCTGTTATGTTTTTTGTTTTCGTTATTTGTTAGTTAAACGACAGGTATGTTCTAGCACTATATGTCAAAATGGCGGAACTTGTTTGGATGATGGTGGTGTATTGAGATGCTCTTGCATTGATGAATACAAAGGAAAATACTGTGAAGGTTTGAATGTCAATATGATTATGAGACATGAATAAGTAACAATCTTGTTAAGGTGATAAGAATTATAAAAAAATTTGATATGGAGATAAAAATAAGGAAAAAATCTGCTATTAAGGGTTACTATGTTGTTATAAACAAACTAGAAATTGAGCTATTATTAAATAAAAGTCATAAAGTTTTTGCTGTGAAAAACAAATTCAAAGAAGAGTTTAAAATAAAATAAATTTTGATGTGGGAAAAAAAACAAATTTGCTGTGAACTTGTTAAACAAATTCAAAGAAGAGTTTAAAATAAAATAAACTTTGATGTGGGAAAAAAACAAATTTGCTGTGAACTTGTTAAACAAATTCAAAGAAGAGTTTAAAATAAAATAAACTTTGATGTGGGAAAAAAAAACAAATTTGCTGTGAACTTATTAGACAAATTCAAAGTAGAGTTTAAAATAAAATAAATTTTGAAGTGGGAAAAAAACAAATTTGGTTTGGAGAAAAGTAATAAACAAATTTCATTCAAAAATTTAACAAATTTGAAACAAAAGTTCTTACTCATGTCTCATAAAATAATCAACAAATTTGATTTGAAAAAAAAAATTAAAAAAAAGTATGATGAGTATACAAGAGGTTTAAAAAATTTTTGATAAAAATAAAAAAACAAACTAGACCACCTATAGAATCCATTTGCAAATCATATTTTATCTCGAAAGTCAGATCTCAATAATTATTTTTAGTTTTTAATGATCATTGATTTTAATCAATGATCATTTTTATTTATTTAAATTTTTTAAAGCATGCAACTAATTTTTTTTCCCTTATCAGAAAACATTTCCAAACATTTGTTTTTATCAATTATATTTATTGATATTTATTGACAAGAAAGTTAATTAACATAAATAATTTTCAATTTTACAGATGAATTTTACATTTATAAGTTCAGTTTTTGAAATATATTTTATATTTGGTGTTTGCATTCTCATTATTTAACTTGATAAACCAAGAAATACACACATAAAAAGAAACACTTTAAGCATACATGTATTACATGTATGATTGTATGAGTTATGTGCAACAAAATTAATGTTGCTCAACAAAATTAATATTGTATTACACAATGTTGCTTAAATAAAGTATTGTAATGAATTTATTTTAGAGAAGGTGTTTAGAGTTTGTTCTACTTCTACTTGCTTGTTTGGCGGTTCTTGCATCGAAGTTAATCAATTTGAATTTAAATGTGTCTGTCCCACGGGAAGAACTGGAAAACGCTGTTCAGGTATTTTTTTATTTGTTGTATTGTAAACCAAATAATTTTTCTTATTTTAAAATCGTTTCAATTTAAAATGAGATCAAAAGTAGCAAAAATTTAATTTTTTTTTTTTAATTTTTTTATTAATGACATTCAACTTTTTTCATCTATTTAAATACAATAAGGATTTATGACAGACCAAAAAACTATTCATTTCATATAACTTTACAATTAGACAAGTTAAAAATAAAAATTTATTGTTATTGAAATTATTTTTTTATAGATAGTTACATATGTTTTAGTTTCATTTTTTTATTTTTATTTTTATTTTGCTAATTATGATTTTTGCTAATGGGTTATAGCAGTTTGTAATTTAAAGCATGTTTATTGCTTTATTCAAAATTTTCAGCAATTGCTGATGATCCCTGTACTAGGTGCCACAAACATGCAACATGCAATCAAGACACCTGTCAGTGTAAAGAAGGTTATTCTGGAAGCGGATACTTTTGTGAGAGAGGTAGATAATTTTACAAAAACTTAAATTATATGTTTTATAAAAGTTTTTTTATTTAAAACTTTAATTTTTATAATTAATTTCTTTGTTAAGAAAGAAGTAATTGTCATCCAAACCCATGTGAAAATGAGGCAACCTGCATCGATAAATACTACTACTTGGATGATACAAAATCTGATGACTCATCATTTTATAACAAAGACTCTTCTCATGATAATGTTGTATCTAAAAGTAGCGAAATTGAAGGGGAATTTATGGCAGAGCATGGATTTGGTGAACAAAATCCAATAAAACAAATCAATGATATGAGCATGGAATCAAAAGCTAAATATTTATACAAACGTAGTATAAATACCACAATGAATTCTGGTCTGGTAATTTTACTAAGATCAAAAGTAAAATCAAATCTTAGAAGTGTTTATCTAAAAAAGAGTTCTAAAGATGAACTAATGAAACATAATTTTACCAATCTTCATAACTCACTTAGTTCATATTTTATAAAAAAACAAGTAAAAAGTAATAATGACAATGAATATTCGGATAAAAACAGAATCAAACGTAATGAAGATGACCTTCCTTCAGGAGTGAATAAAAATGATTTGAATTTTTATGGATTTGCATGCATTTGCCCAATGAGATTTAAAGGTCACAAATGTGAAAGTATGTGTTAATTATATATATTTGTATCTAATTAACATTATTATTAATATTTTTACATAAATAAATTTTTTGTATTACTTTTCTTTATTTTTATATTACCTTTTAATGATTTTTTTAATGAGTTTTTTTTTTACTTTTTTTTTCTACAAAGACAAAAATAAAAAAATAAAGGTGTTTTTACAGGAAAACAAAAAAGATTATCCAGAAAATTTATTTATAAACAATTTTATTTAGTTCCAGAGCCATGTAATCCAAATCCTTGTGGAAATAATGGAGTTTGCTCTGATAAAAACGGTGTTCCAAGCTGCAAATGTGAATACCCATATGTTGGGATGACTTGTAATGGTAAGTCATTTTCCATTCATGTATGGCTTAATTAAATTTTCATAAACAATGTTTTACAATGTACTTATGTTGTATTTATTTAACATGTGTTGCATTGAGTTTTTTTTTTTTGTTTATACGAGTTAAATACACAGCACAATATACTAAACATTTAGTTTTATAAATAAGATTTATAAGGGTGTTTTTTTTTTTGCATTCTTATTAAAAAGATTTTTTATAATGTTTAAATTATAATATATTTTGTATAAATTAAATAGATATAAAAATGCTACAATAACATATTTTTTTAAAAGTTAAGTTTGGCCAGGTGAAATTTCCATCTGATGTTACAGAGTTTGTTGATCTTTACCTTTTTATCTTGTTCTTTGCAATTCCTAAGACCAAGATTCCATTTTAATCATACTTATTATAAAATTTAAAAAAACTTAATTTTTATCACTTGCAATATTTTATGACAAAGGTTGTATTATGGGTATCCCATACAATTTTTTTTAAGTCTGCTCTTACCCCCTAAATGTGTCATATATAATAAATTAATATTGGATCTAATAATATTAGGGGTTCTTTATTTGTTCAAGGGCTCCCCCAATACCAAAATAATTTTTTATAATATTAGGATTCCTAATATTGTAAAATTTTTTAAAGTTTTTTTATGTTGGGTTTTAAAGTGAAATCAAATTTATAAAAACAAAAATCTTTTTATCAAAAACATATTGAAAAAAATATTATCAAAAAAACTTGTTAAAATGGACTTTATATTTACATTATTTTTTTTTTATTTAAAAAATATCATTTTTTATACAGTAAAATTTAAAAAAATAATTTATTTATAAAAATGGTTAAAATTAAATTTCAAATTGTATTTGAGTGTTAAATAAATTTATAATATAGTCATAATATAGTATTTTAATATTATTTATATAATTTATTTATATAATTTTCATAATATAGTTATTTTATATTGTAGTTATTAAATTATATATATATATATATTATATATATATATATATATATATATATATATATATATATATATATATATATATATATATATATATATATATATATATATATATATATATACTCTATTGTTTTAATTAATCAATTTAATAATTTAATCTTAAGTAAAAAATAATAACCTTTTTTATATTATTTTTTTGTTTATTTAGCAACTGATTCATGTAAACCTAATCCATGTAAAAATGCTGGGAAATGCACAGATAATGATGGTGTTGCTGTGTGCACTTGTTTACCTCGATATGAGGGGGATAAATGTGAAAGTAAGAATGTTTTAAAAGAATTCTTCAAGTTTAACTATTTATAACTTAAAATAGTTAAGAATAAACAAATGAATAGTTTTAAATTAACAAAGTTACTTATATTGTTATTAATATATTAGGTAATTTAAGTAATTTAATTACTACAAACCCATTTAGCAAAATTAATTGCATTTAAGTTTTTAATAAAGACTTCAGTATAATTATTTAGATTGTAGTATTAAAGTTCACTAAAAAACAGCAATACCAATAACAAATAAAAACAGCAATACCAATAACAAATAAAAACAGCAATAACAATAACAAATAAAATTAGCAATATCTATAACAAATAAAACTCAAATACAATCCTGCAATTGTTACTAAAGTTTTTATAGGTTTCATATAATGAGCCACCAAAATCTGTTTATAAAGATAACAAGATGCATTTTATAGTAGATATGTTTGTTCAAAATGATGATAAAAGATCATTTTAAGTGAAAGAGTTTCTAACAGTGAGGTGGCAATAAACTTTTAAAAATATTTAAATAATAAAACTACCTGAAACTTGGACCAACCCTTTAAAAAAGCACTAAATGTTAAAGTTATTTTTACTACACCACATAAAATTAAAAACAATACTGTGCAACAGCAAGTCTAAATTAATACTATGAGGTGTGCATACTTATGTGTTCATGTGTGTGAATTCATATTAGGAAAAAGAAAAAGACAATTCTGAAAAGAAAATTTAAACTCCAAATAAATAGCATGAACCGCATTTAGTTTATGCTTTTGGAGCAACTGAATTTTGCAATCATTGTCACAGTTTAATTCTATTTAACACCCAAAAACCATGGGTGCCATGTAATTAGCTAAAAATGCTTAGTATAGCATTGGTATCTTTATTGATAAACAAAATTGTTAAATGGGACCACATTAAAGCATTGCAAAAGCATCTAGAAAAAGAACTTAAATTTAGATATAAACTTGGTAATTACCACCAACACAAAATGGATGTTAAAGTTACAGCTCAAACGCTATGTGTTTTAGTTGTTGATACTATAATATTTTAATGACTTCAACTCAAATAAAGTGCAAAAAAAAATTAATTACATTAGAATTTTAAACAAACTTTCTAAACTTTAAAACGGCTTTCCAAACTATAAAAGTTTTTTTGAAAAAGGATAAAAAAAACGTTGTTTTTTTTCTTAAACAAAGCTTCATTTTGTATTTTATTAAGAAATTAGTTAATTACTTAGTTAACTTATATCTAAAACTTTTTTCATTTAATTTTTTAATTCTTTAAAAATAAAATGTTTACATTTTTACTTGGTTTCATGGTAGCAAGTACAAGTTAAAAGTTTTTCGTTTTTATTAAGACTAAAAAATACTTATAAGTTTATTTTGACATACAAAATGTCACAAAATCACATTGTTTCGTTATTTGCTTGTGTTTGCAGTTTCAGTTACAATCCAGAAACTTTACCATATGATTAAAATTTAGCAACTTATGATTTTTTCTGGATCAATCTTTTTGGTAAAGTGAAAATAATCAAAAGAAAGATAGAAGAACCTACAGCAGTGTGTTAAATGAGTTATTATATTGTTGAACAATTTTTTTTTAGTTGATCGCTGTGATCAGTGTCATACAAATGCAGAATGTTCAAATGGTGTTTGCAAATGCAAACAAGGCTTTTTAGGTGATGGAAAGATAGTCTGTGTTAAAGATCGGGCTTGTATAACTATTTTTTTGTTACTTTTTTTGTTACTTATTTTATATGATTTTAAAGTAAAGAATAATTTGTTTGTTGATGTCATTTTTACAAGGTCTTATTAAATATATTTTGAACAAAAGTATAAAACATAATCTTTAGTTTATGTTTTATACTTTTATAGCAAGATACCTTCGAAAGATAAAGATACCTTTGAAATTCACATTTTCATAAATTGTTTTATTATTTTATTAGTTTCTGATCCATGCAATGACCAAGTCTGTAACAATGGTGGTACATGTGTAGCAACAAGCGAAACAAGTTTTCGTTGCTTTTGTAAATCTATGTATTATGGAAAGTTCTGTGAAGAAAAAATGCATCCTACACCTGCTGTACTTACTACTACTTCTACAAAAACCACTCAAAAGTCTGTGCAAACTACTGATAGTATGTAGCTTAATAAAAAAAAAAGTTTATTGTTTATTTTTAATTTATCTTTGATTTAAAATTTATTTTAAATGTCTATTTTGATGTTTCCAATGTTTGGTGGGGCAATTTAATTTAGGTGGTTACTTGTTTTTTTTAATTTTTTTAATAGAATAATTTTTCGATTGCAGTAGCTAGACAATATCATCTTTTAATGTCTGTTTTCTTATTTTGGACAAAAATGGAAATGCAGACATTGTTTAACATTGATGGTTTTACGTTTTATACATGCAATCTTTTATTTATTTCTTAACTTCAGTTTTTATCTGTTACAAGCATTTTCTAAGATTTGCCTTTTTCTCAGAAAATCAATCATCAATTGGTAAGTGAATGTATGGTTCATCAATAACTATAGCAAACTATAGCATTATGGTTCATCAATAACTATAGCAACTATAGTATGTGATTTAAGTTATTGCTAGAATTAGATCTTTTTACTAACTGCAAAATGTCAACATTGTAAAATAATCTTTGGATTGGCACCATGCAAATCATCATAGTCAGAAATTTACATGTTTCAATATTCCAGAGCAATTAAAAAAGTATTTTGACTTTTCTTATCACATTTTCAAAAATTGTTTTGAACTTTGTTGAACTTGTTTATAATACAGAGAATAAGAGAGATACAGCGGTTAACATTCATCCAATTAATATGTACTTTATTTTGTTTTCACAACATTCTAATACTCTTAATCATGTACACATAACATCAGAATGCTTTTACAGTTGTAAAGTTTTCTTTTTCATTGTCTTTTGTAATTTAAAAAATTTATTCTTGTGTAATCATTCTGTTAAAAATTTGTTTATAATAAATGTTGCCCAAAACTTTAACTATCAAATAAAAATAAATAATATTAAAATAATAAGAATAAATGTTGCCCAAAACTTCAACTTTAATTCTCTTAAATGGTTTTTTTTTGAAAAAAAAACTAGATAGAGAATTTAAAAGTCAGCACATTTAAATTCTTCCCTTTTGCTTTGTTTTATTGGTTAATGTAGTTTACATTTTGTATAACTTCTTACTCTTAAACCTTCTCTGTTATCTAGTTTAAAACTTAAAACTTAAAGTATTAGAAATTTGAAGTGATAAATTTTAGTAAAAAGTAATTTTACATAACATTAATTATACATGTTCCGTGATTGAAATCAAAACTTAAATTAACATACAACGAATTGATTTTATTGATTTCAGTATATTAGATTTATTCATTGGTAGTTAATTTAAATATTAATTTAGTATACTTTATTATATATTGTATGAATTTAATAGTCTATTTTTTTATTATATTTTTTTAAGGGCCCCAGTGCCATCCTAACCCTTGCTTGAATGATGGCCAATGTATTGTTAGTGGTGATATTGGTTACAATTGTTTGTGTACACCCCAATTTAAAGGGCAGCATTGTGAAGGTTTGTATTTATTTTGCTATTGAATGTTAGTATTATATTATTAATTATTTGATTAGTTAAAAATTTGTTTAAAATTATTATAAAAATTGTTCTAGATGATAAATGTATGGAATGCGATCTTCAAGCTTTATGTGTAGATGGGCATTGTCATTGTCATCATGGTTATCATGGTGATGGGTACACATGTACCAAAAGTATGCTTGTCTACTTTTTTGTAATATACTTGTCTATAATCTACTTGTCTTTTTTTTTGTTTCTGTTAGTATATGTTTACTCTAAATAGTATTTCAAAAATTATAAATTTAAACATTTAGATGATCAATGTGATGAACCCTGCCCTCGTAATGGTATCTGTACACATGGCATTTGTGTTTGTGAGCAAGGATATTATATGGATGAAGACAAATGCAAACGTTGGTTTAATAAATTTTTTTATACTCAACTTTTTATACATGCATGAAAATTTATTTTTCACTGGAAGTGATCAACATGAGCATGCTATTCATGAAAAATGTTTTCATATTTTTTCTCCAGGTGTCCCTTTTGCTGCAAAGCATAATCCGCATGAAAGAAGACTTGAACTGGTTCATTCAAAGACATCACTATCGCCACCACCACCATCACCACCACCACTGTTAGGGACGCTGCCACCACCACAAAGTCATTCCCAACATACTCCATTATCTCCACCTTATTTGCAGCCTGTTTTACTTAATTCACCCAATCCAGTTAATTATTTAACTTCACTTCCCAAGTACACAAGTTATCAACAGCCAGTTGCTGTTAATCCTCCTAATTCTTATATGACAACTTCTACTGAACATTACATGCTACCTAATAATTATGTCACTAATTCCAATGAGAATATTTTCAAGCCAACCTCTTTAAATGTTCAGTATCCATTATTAGACTCACAGCCAATAGTTTCCCCTGCTAAGCCTATAATTTCATTGACATCATATAATCAGCAAAGCAACCAGAACCCATTCATCCGGTCTCCTATGGAAAAATTCGAAAAGAAGCTAAAGGGTAGGTACATGGTTTGGGGTTTAATTTTTTGGAAACAGTTTTTAAACAAATTAGTTATTTTATTTGAAATAAGTTATAGAAACTAAACAAAAAAAGTTTTTAAAGCAGTTTACAGGAAATCAGTTTTTTAAAGTGAACATAACTACTACATAAACTATGTTGTATATATATATATATATATATATATATATATATATATATATATATATATATATATATATATATATATATATATATATATATATATATATAAACTGATATTTGTCTAAATGTTATAGAAGTCTAAAAATTCTCAAAAATCAGTTAATATCTCTTGTTTCTCAAATGATTATTCAATTTATAAAAGTTATTTTGTAAAATAGGTAAAGGTGGTATTTGCAACAATCTCCTATAAGCTGAATCTGGTGAAGTGGGATGCATACCCTCTTTTTAAATTTTTCTATTTCATTTCTTTGACAAATTCTTTGTCAACTGATAAATAGATCATTATGCATGCATTTCATAGATTTTATATTTATAAAGTTAAAACTATAACGCATGCCTCAGTTGATAAGTGTTAAACCTTATTAAATCTGCACAATGTAGGTGTTTCAATTTTTTAAATTATTAATTCTGTAATTTATAGATTTAATGGCATTAGGACTCTCTGATAGTGTAGCCAGGGCTTTAATAAAGTCTGCTCCAACCAGAATTATGAAAAAAGGAAATGTGAATTATGCTGAAGATATAGTGATTTCCGTTTATCAGGTGATTTGGTTGTATTTTATGCACTTTAAACATTTTCATTATTTTTCATTAATAAATTACAATTAAAAATATTTTTTCATGTGTGTGTGTGTGTATATATATATATACATATATATATATATATATATATATATATATATATATATATATATATATTATATATATATATATATATATATATATATATATATATATATATATATATATATATATATACAGAGAAATTAAGTTGATAAATGTATATATATATATATATATATATATATATATATATATATATATATATATATATATATATATATATATATATATATATATATATATATATATATATATATACAGAGAAATTAAGTTGATAAATGTATATATATATATATATATATATATATATATATATATATATATATATATATACAGAGAAATTAAGTTGATAAATGTATATATATATATATATATATATATATATATATATATATATATATATATATATATATATATATATATATATATATATATATATATATATATTAGGGTGGGTCATAAATTTTTTTTTCTTGTTACAAGCTCTAAACATTGCTAATAATTATTAATATTGATACTATCAAATATGAATATGATTTTGATAGATTTAAAGGGCGCAACTTTATTGGGAAAATTACCGGTACCCTAATATTTTGGAGAAAAAAAGTTTTTCAATAGTAGGTCAACCTGATACTCAAAAGAAGCAAAATTTATAAAAAATTCGAAAATAATAATCGTTTTATAAAAATTATATTGATGAAAAAAATTCTTATTAAAAAACATGTAAAAATGCACCTTTTTCACTTTTAGTTAAAAAACTATAGTTATTATGCAATAAAATCTAAAATATCAATTTTTATACGAAAAAATTATAATTTTTTAAATTTTTATAAAATTTTGCTTTATTTAAGTACCTACATCACATAATTTTGAAAAACTTTTTTTTTGAATATTATAGTTGCGGGTAGAAGACATTGTTCAATGCATAAAAGTAAATACTTTCCTAAATTAGTACATAAAAAAACAACTTTCTAGACCTTAGCCAGGTTAACAACTCTAAAAAAAAGTTTATGAAAAGTTTTATATATATATATATATATATATATATATATATATATATATATATATATATATATATATATATATATATATATATATATATATATATATATATATATATATATATATATATATATATATATATATATATATATATATATATATATATATATATATATATATATATATATATATATATATATATATATATATATGGGCAATTCCCCAAGAAAGAGGGAAAAAAAAGCGAAAAAATTATCAAAACACATACTAAACTCCAAAACTCTTTTTTTATTTATTTAAAATTACTTTTAAGCAAAAAAGTTATTTTAAAAAATCATTCACGATTTTTTTAGCTCATTATTGTTCATTTGACAGGTTAAGTTGGGTTCATAGGCTTCTTCCATATTATTAACTCAATCAATTTGGTTGCACACAGGTTTAGATGAGGAAGCTTATATGTTCCAGGAGCTAGAGTTCCCATCTTCTCATTTTTTCTAATTTCTAAAATTTTGTTAACAGCAAATTCCTTTTAAAGTTAGTTTTGGCTGCATCGTAATGTCTGCAATAAGATTTTGGAATCAGAATTCCACACTGATGATCTCACATATTTTTAAATAACTTTTTGTACATTTTCATCTTGAAGTTTAATAAGGTTGAGTTGGTTCAAGATGAATTATTCATGTGATGAACATCAACTTGCGAGCCATATTGTTGTTCATTAAACAATGAACAGAATCAGTTTTATGATGAAATTTTAGAGAACAATGTAAAGGATTTTAAATCCAAACAAGGAAACAGATTAAAGTTGAATTAAAAATATTTAATGCTAAATAATACAGCTGAGTTATAATTAATATACCTTTAATGGGTGTTATTTTACTAGGTTTATATTTAGTATAGTATAATATATTAGATATTAATATTAAAGAGATGTTATTTTTGAGAAATATGTTTGTTATACTGAGATATATTTATGTAAATTTAGGTAGGAGTAATTATTCTTAATAAAATATTTTTATTCATGAATAAAGTACAATGTAGTATTTTTTTTTTTTTGTTTCACTACTTAAACAAATTTACTAAGTAATGAAAAATTTTCTTTTTTGTCAGACATTTATATATCATATTTGTCAGACAATTTTATATTATATACGTCCTTCTGTAAATAAAAATGGGTTTAAAATATTAGTTTTGATTGCTGTAAATGTGACCAATTGTGGTTTTAAACAAACTTATATTTTAAAAAATTACCTTTCTAATTTAATGCACCGAAAAGCAAGATATCTGGTCCTGTAAGTATAAATGGTACGCCATGGGACTTCTAATAGTGTTTTAATAATCAGGGGGGGGTCATAAAAAAAGGTAAAAGAAAATAGAAATTCAAAAAATATATATTAAAATATTAAAACTATATTTTATTAAGGGTGTACCAATGCCTACTTTTGGTTGATACTGATTGTTACCTATGCATCGGCCGATGCATTTGCATTGGCCCTCAATTTGAATTGGTATTTTCTTTTTTACTAATAGGTAAATTAAGATTTTTTTCAAATATAATGTTGAGTGTCACTTAAAGTTTCTATACCTGCAGACTTATAAATTCAAAGTCTAGATTAAAATTGAAACAAAGTAAAATACAATAAATAAATTAAAATACAAATAAAGGTATATATATAAATAATCTTGCATGTTAGTTAAAAAGCTTTTCCCATAAATTGTAGATTTAAAGAGAACGCTAATAAACCAGGCCAGAAATAGTTTAAAAACTTGAATAATTTTTTTTATTATTATTAAGTGATAGACTTCTCGCTAACCTAACCCTAAGTCGATGCAGCACTCCATTGCGAGTCAGGCTAAAAGATAGTCGGTGTAACAACACTCCCTTTAAGCAGCAGGATATAAGATAGTCAATGTAGCAACATGCATGTTTTAAAAATATATTTTAATAAAACAAAAACACTATTAATTAAAAAAAACTTTCTAGTCATTATTATTGCGGTTTTTTAAAAAACAATAAAATTTCATGTACTTCTGTATTAATTTAATTGCTTTGACATTTCAACGACAATAAAATGTATCTTAATTGTCAAGGTAGCAAAATTGCAGTTGAAAGAGACTTCTTTTTACATTAAAAGTCTCTTTCGACTATGGTATATGGTTTTTTCTTGATTTAAATATATGGCTAATGAGTGCCAAAAATGGCATGAAACTTTAAGCACCATAAAATAGTTTTTTTTATCTAACCTTTTATTTATTTATTGATCTATTTTGTAATTATTTCAAAAATCAAAACAATAATATATATATATATGTTTATATATATATATATGTTTATATATATATATATATGTTTATATATATATATATATATATATATATTTATATATATTTATATATATTTATATATATATATATATATATATATATATATATATATATATATATATATATATATATATATATATATATATATATGCAATGGTGGCGGCAGCATTTTTTGGTCTTCAAAATATCTAACTTCCAGACATGGAGCAAACTCCAAACATTTATATGTTTATACTTATGTCAAATAAGAACATGATTTATCACAATTTTTTGCTTTGTAAAAAATTGCGACTATTGGTGCTTGGGAGCCGTAAAACCCCAAAATTTAGCCCCCTCTCCCCTGACCCAAACGTGAGAGCAATATGTTGATAAAATATTTTTTGAACTATTTTCAATTAGACTTATATTCATTGGTAAGTTATAAATTTCATTGTAAAGTATTTTAGCGTTCAAAAAATATGACCATATAAAGTTTAAATTTGAGAGGGTTGCAAATTTTATATGGTCATAATTTTTGAACGCTGAGAAATTATACTATGAAACTTAAAATTTCACGATGAATATAAGTCTAGTTAAAAATAATACAAAAAATTGTTGCTCTCACGTTTGGGGCCGGAGGGAGGCTAAAATTTTGGGGCTTTTTTGTTCCAAGGCTCCAATAATCGTAACTTAGTTGACATTAGTATAAACACATAAATGTTTGGTATATAAGTATAAACACATATAAGTATAAACACATAAATGTTTGGAGTTTGCTCCATATCTGGAAGTTAGATCTTAAAGACCAAAAAATATTGGCGCCATCCTTGTATATATGTATGTATATAAATTTCTAGCTATAATCTAGGAATTAAACTTAGAAATAAAGTTTAATAAGAAATAAATCAACAATGACTAAAGCAACTAAAAAGTCTAATAGATTATTTTGATATAAATGAAAATGAACGTTCAATAGCAATTAGTAAATTTAGCAAAATAAAAATACCAAGAGGAGAAATTTAGCAGAAATTTTTTTTATATTTTACATTAACTTTACATTTCTTGATTTTAAACTAATCTATTTGTATAGTTTGGATTCATAAATAATATAATTGCTTTCCTGAGATATAAAAAAACACTAAATAGGGAGCCCCCTCATAAAAAACTGTTCAAAATATATTTAAAGGCGTAGTGAGTGCATATATGCCAATATATTAATTTAGGCTAACATATATATGCATTTTTGTTTTTGGAATAGTTACATTTTTGTATACAATATAGAAGCAAAAAAAATAAAAGAATTGATGTTTTTAAAACAATCGGCCTCGGTCGATGGTTATTAAGACCAAGACCGATGTATCGGAAAAATGGTCGATGCATCAGTGCACCCCTATATTTTTAAGGTTAGAGAAACTCTAATCTATAACGGTCATAGTTTCAATAACAACATTTTATCACTATAATTATTTCCTAAAATTGCATAAATTATTTTTGCAGTTATAAAGAATTTCTACAATTTGAATTCTAGAATTTAGGATGTTGGAAAGATACGGAATATTGGTGGGATCCTGACAAGCGAGCTATAAAAAGTGTTGAAGGAAAGCATCCAAAAGTGTCTGGTGATTACAACACACGAAAGGATCCTATAGGTATATCATTTTAATGTTAGTATGATTAAATGTAATCGTTTGATTATTTTTATTATTGTTTTTCAACTGTACCTATTATAGTTTATGATTATTTTTATTATTTTTTAATTTTGCAGGGAAATGTGCTGATACTGCCAAAGAATTGGGATTTAAATTATTTGCTCTTCAAAATGGTGGCCAATGTTTTACTTCAGCTGATGCTCAACTAAACTACATGAAGTATGGAAGATCGGATAAATGTCGCAACGGTGTAGGAGGTCCTTTGGTGTCAGACGTATATTCGTTATAGGAATTTTGATTAATATTTATACAATTTTATTTCAAAATGGGATTTTAGCCTTAAATCATTTACGATGTCTTCATAATTAACAAAAATGAGGCATTTATATTAGCTACTTTTTCGCTTACTTGCTTTACTTTAGTTACTTTATTATAAAGATGCTGAGGTAGATGAGGCAGTTGAGGCAATTTAAATTTATTGTGTTATAAGCATGCTATCATAGTTTTTATGTTTGTATTAAACAAAACAAAAAAATTTCATCATAATAGACACGATATGGTATATATTTTTTTAGTTATTGAATGTATATATTGATATTTTCAAAGATTTTATTTTGTATCGCAATAGAAATAAATTTTAAAAGAACGTTTTTGTTGTTGATCTGTTCAAAGAAAGCAAAATGATAGATTTATCTTTTTCTTTAGCGCATTATACCTACCCAACTTAAAAACTTTTATAAGCGAGGCGATAGCTAGTGAGGCGATTGCTAGATTTTTTTGAACAGATTGCTAGTTCTGTTATAAAAATTCATAATTTTTTATCTACATTTTAATTAGTGGTATAAGAAATTGATGATTTTAGTTCTACGAAATTATCAAATATTTTACTACTTCTTTCCAAAAATTACAACACACTTTTCCACATATTTCAATACCAGACCCACACAAAACATCTGTGCAAAAGACACAACCATAACCTGAAAAAAAATTAAAAGAATCTATGTTAATAATTAACAATAGGGATGCGCATTATATATTTGTTATGTATTTATGAAGTAGGTACTTCCGAAATCTAGTCTCAATTTTCCAGAATGATTTTCAAAATGATTACCTGTAAACTCACCTAGAAGAACCACATCATGATTAGTTGCTAAATAGGTGTTTACATCGCGCCAAAGCAGGTCGGGTGAATCAATTCTGCATTTTCAATAGCTAAGTGCTTAACTATTTTACCTTTTTTACGACATATCGCGACGTTTTACGACATATTACGACATATCGCAACGTTTTATGACATATTACAACACATCGCGACGTTAGAATTATCTTGTTCTATCTTCACTTTTTAAAAACATTTAACTTCCCCGTTTAGTTATTAGTTTGTTATGTTTTAAAAAAAGGTTTTTTCAGCAAAAAATTTATTGTATCTCTCCAGGAATTTATTTTGTGTTGTAGTATTTTTGCTGGATTTAACAAACTGCTATTTTTTAAATGTAGAGATATAAAATACCTTCAGAATAATAATAATAATAGTGATGTCTTAAAATATTGTTGTTTTATATACCAATTCTTATCTAGACGTTTATTAATTCAGCTCTAATCTAGAAATTTATTTTTAGTCGTTTAAAAAAAACTACATAAAAAAATAAAAATAAACTCTTAATATTGTTTACGAATTTTTTTAAACTTTTTATTTGCAATGATTTGACTGTTTATGACTTTTTGATGGAAGACGTGTTAATGTATTAACTGATAGCAAATGGAAATCAAATCAAAGCAGACGTTTTGTAAAACGTTTTTTTTTTTTCACAATGAAATGATTTTAAATGCAAATTCTCAAAAGTTTTAACAAAAAATACCATTTTAAAATGCAATAGAATTTTTTTCCAACCATATACAGTATTGGCCATTAATAAAAATCCATTAAGTTATTTTAGTACAAATATAGTTTTGAAATTAAAAATTTTATAATCTAAAAGTGTTTTTTTCCTAATTTTTTTTTATTGAAATAAATCAAATAATTACAATATAAATTTATTATAAAATAATCAAAAATTAAAAAGAATTAAAAGTAAAATTTTAAAATTAAAACAAGTGTTCATTTGTATCAAAAAAAAAATGTGGCCAAAATAAACAAACCACAAAAACAAAATTAACAAACCTTAATAAAAAAATACTTACAAAACACACAAAAAAATAGAATTAATATTTGTTGACAATCATTTTGTTTTTAAGCATTCACTGATATGTTTCGGCATAAAGTTCACTAAATTCTGAGTAATTTCTTTTGCAACACTATTCAGTAATTTTTTTACTAATTCTTTCAGCTGGACTAGATCTTTTATTTCAGTTTTACCAAAATTATGATTCAAACTAGACCACAAAATCATTTGGGAAAATGTCAATAAAAGGCATTAAATAGTTATCCAATATGTCTAAATATCTTTGAGAATCGAGCCTTTCATCAAATAGTTTGAAACAACCAAAACCTTCATAGTTTATGCTGGCCCAGATGCCTATACTACCACAACCATGTTTTGTTCTATATCAAAAACAATTTGGGACCACTTTTTCATATGGTTTTCTTCTCGATATTATTTGGTTTCTTCTTAAATCAACCTCAAAGTTTATTTTATCTCTGAAAAGAACGTTTTGCTTATGGTCATAGACCAAATTTTATGAGCTGAACACCAGTTTTTTCTTGTTTTCTGATGTTTTATCAATAGACGTGGTTTTTTGCAAGCAGCTCACCACATGTAATTATGTTTTTGTAGTACTCTTTTAATTGTTAGAGCACTAGCAACAATACCAGAAGCTTTTTGTCCATGTCGACTGAGGCCAGTAGATGATCAACATCTACATTTTTTCACTATGCAAATAAGTGAATGTTTATTTCTTTTATTTGAAATGCCGAGTCTTCTAGAGTATGGAAGATTTTGAATTAAATTTTTTCTATATTATCAGATGGAAGATGGAAGAAGCATGGAAGATGGAAGATGGAAGAAGCATGGAAGATTTTGAATTAAATTTTTTCTTTAATATCGGCTGATTATTCTGCTAAAATTGGCATGTGTTGTGTTGAAATGTTTTGAGAAAATGCAGTTTCTCTCATTAAGATGTTTTTTTCATTCATTGCTATGATTTTACATTTTATTATATAATCAACAGTTTTTCTAGTTTAATTTTTGAAGTTTGAAATAGTAGAGTGAATTGTTAATTTTGGCTATAATTTTTATAGATTATGAGGTATGCCAAAAAAAGGCAATATAGTTAGCACATTAAATAATATTTTTATGAATTTAATCTCTTTTTATTTTAAAGAAAATAGAATGCTCATCAATATACATTTTTTATATTTAAGGAGAGTCAAATAATCATTGATTTGATATCAAACAAAGTCCATTTATACGAAAAAAAACATGCTGAATTGTTAATAATGGCCAATACTGTATGTTACCAGTGGAAAAGAAAATGTTCTGAAATTATTCAATAAGACATCTTTAAAAACACAATATGGACATGTCATAAGCCAAATACGCTTTTTGCAAATTTCTTAGTTTAGATAATTTCTAAATCAGCACTTAAAAATTCATTGAAAAATTTTATTTTTTATTCTTATTTTTGGTAATTAGTTTAATATTATTAACAAAAAAAAAAAAATAATATTTTTGGTATTAAATGTTTTTGATATTAAATAATTTAATACCAAAAATATGAATAAAAAAAAAAGATTTTTCAATGAGTTTTTAAATGCCTGTAACTTAAGTGGTTTGGCTTATGACAAATTCCTATGTTGTCTTTATAGAAAATAAAAATTAATTCATTAGCTGTAACATTTTTAACAATGCCTAAAGATTTCTGTGCTGTCTGCAAATATGAATATGGAGTCGGCAATTAACTTATAGGTATTTCTAGCGATAAGAATGTTTTAAAACGCTTTTAAAACATTCTTACCCACTCAATCAATCGGCTAACAACTGTAATTACTCTATAAACATCTAATTTAACTTATATCAAACTTCTAAAGGTCAGTTTCCACTAATCCATTCTAAATCTTTTTAAAATATTTAATTTTACATAAATATATATCATTATACTGCGTATGTATACGTATATGTTTCGATTTGTAAAGTTTTATATTTACGTTATACAATATGTTATTTTGTACCAATTTGTAAATTTTATCTTTAAAAGATTTTTTCTTTTTTGCAAACTTTTTAATTTTTTTCTTTTTTAGTTTCACGCTTTTTTATTATATTAGAACTTGTAAAATTATACTTTTCTCTATTTTACAAAGAGGCTTGATGATTAGACATTTAGTCTTCTACTTGCCCCCGGCAGATTGTAACTATATATATTTATATTAATATATATATATTTAATTGATCTTAAAGGATAACATTGTAAAATGTGCTCATATTGACGAAAAAATTAACTAAAACTAAAACTATGAATTTAGGTGCGGCAGTGTCATAGCAGAAAGGTGCGGCAGTGTCATAGCCGAATAAGAAAATAAATAATTTATTTTATGGTTATTCATTTTTATATTTGATCAAGAAACAGGTTACATTAAATAAGATTTTTTAGTATACTTTTAAAAAGCATGTAGGTACATATTTAAAAAGTTGTGTTAGTTTCTATTGCTTGATTGCGCACGACCCACCAGGTTTTTGTTCCTCAGTTGACCTTATGGAAACTTTGTCCCGTTCTGCGTACAAAGGCACATCGGAGACTACGTTTGTGTTACTATTGGAAAGAAGGAATACAAAGAAAATAAAAGAATTTGATTTGAATGTTATTCAAGAAATGTTTCAGAGCGAAAAAAAAAATGTGAAAAATTGAGGACCAGAAACCTTATTCAACTTTATAATTTGAGTTTAGCGTATCATGAAACATAACTTTGCTACTTCTTTCACAAGCATTTTTCAGAATTTTTTTCCTGCAAATTGTTTAATCATAATGTCGTAATCAGTACTTTCCAAGAGGTCATTTTTTATGTACTTTAGAGAAAATTGATTGAATAGCTTCTGCCTGATTGTTCTACGAAGCTCATTTTTTTTACCTAAAGTGTAGAAAATGAACGTTCCCCTGTACAATTAGTAACCATTAGTAACCATCATACACACAAAATATAGAGAGTTAAAAAAACTTTTTTTTAATTCGGCTTAAACAAAATACGAGTACATTTTCTTTTTAAACAAAATACGATTTTCTTTTTAAACTAATCTTTTTATTAGATATTAGGAGAGCGTGAAATATTTTTAAAAATTATTTAAAAAAGTCTCCTTGAGCAGAAGCCATACAACAATCATGGACAGATTTAGCATTTTAGTGTTTGAGCAAATTCCAAACATTTATGTGTTAATTATTATGTCTAATAAGGATCCTTTGAAAAAAATGATCAGACAAAAATGGCGCAGTACTTTGTTATTTGTGAGGAACGGCACGACTCAAAATTTCAGATCGAACCGTCAAACTAAAAAGTTAACAAAATGTGACGGACAACTTGTTAAACCTAATGTTGACAAGTTACATCAGCTCCAAATAAATTATTATTTTTTGATTTAGTTTAAATTTCAATGTACATCAGTGATTTTGGAAAGAATGAAGCTTATAAAGATTTCTAACCTATTATACATGATATATAAATTTAAAATTATAGACATGCATTCGAGTGAGTAGTTAGTGGGTTCCAAAAAACTTCTTAATTAAAAAAATACTGAATGCGGATATCAAATTACTGGTTTACTGACTGGTTATTTTTTATTAACTGGTTAAAATATTACCGTGTTATATTTTATACTTAACTTAGAATTTTGTTATAGTAGTATGCTTAAAATTAACTAATGATAAACTCAAAAACTGATTTTAAACATTTAAATTTTTATTAAATGTAGGTAATTGTTTCAGGAAAACAAAATAAAAATAAATTATCAAAATAAAATGTACTCGAAGATGCACAGTGTGAAAAATCTTTGATTTATCAAAAATTTTCATCACGGTTGGTTTAACACAGTGCCGCAAGATTTGTCTTGATTTACAGGCGCAATGTTCTGAAAATACCTTGGCACTTGCCACGCTTTCCGATCGTATTGTGCGAAAGACACATTTAAAGTTAAAAAGACCAAACATTGTTCTCAATATTCTAAGTAGATCTCGAATTTCGCTTGGTACGCATGGCAGGTTTTTTTCTTTCAAAAAGAACTAACAACATTTGTTCTAAATAAACTTTGGTTTACATTTAGTAGAGTAATGCATGTGTTGTGTATTAAACGTTGAGAAATAAATTGATTAATGACGTTTGCAAAACTAAGAGACCAACTGCGAGAAAAAGTTTTTACATACATTTTAGTTATATAAGCAAAATATTGATAAAAATGAAAGAGTATAAAAAATATATAGTTATAAACTTGCTTGCGGCATTTATTTACATTTGTTCATCTGAACCTGAAGGAAATGTGTATCAATCTATTGCCCACCTAGAACCACTAGTTGAAATAGAACGTCGACTCATTAAAGTAGCCCGAGAGTATCTTGACGACGAAAAGTTCAAGCTGAAAAGTCTGCAAGGGTTTGCTAAGTCTGTTAGAGAATCCCTTGAACTTTCTAAGGACGATCCAATAAAGTACTTAGGCAATCCTGTCAACTCTTACCTTCTAATTAAAAGATTCACCTCTGGTTGGAAAGATCTTGCTGATTTGTTATCAATAAATGATGAAAAAGCTAACGGTAACAAAATTATTGTTTTAAATTACGCCGCAGCAAAAAAAAGCCGTACAAGGTAAACATTTGCGTTTTAAAAATGACTGTTCAATAAATTAAACTAAGTAGCATATCGAACACAATTTAAATCTTTAAATTGTTTTTCAATATGTTAATGTTTTTTAACGGTGATAGCTCATTTTTGATACGCAATAATTTTCGATAGGTAGAAATTTAGTAGACGAAGACAATATATATTTTTTAATTTAATACTTAATTAAAATTTAATGCTTAAAATTAAAACATATTTCTAAATATTTCTTATAACTTTTAACCTAAATACTATGTTCTTTAAAGTTACTTACCGATAATATAAAAAAAAACTTACAAAAAGTTTGATTTTTAAATTTCATTATTATTATTAACTTATAAAAAATTTATAAAAAGTTTCTATTCAAGTTTTCATAAATTAATAATTTAGAATTGTTTTTTTTTAAATATTTTGTTACTAATTATATTCTTAGCTCGTCTTTAGTAAAAATCTATTTTACAAGTGTATTACAAAATAGATCTTACTAATGCTTTAATGCTTGTAACGAGTCTAACTGCACGCTCAAGCCTTTTTTATGTGAGTGTTATTGAAAGTTGAGTGCTTTTTGGGTAAAGTGTGTTTCCATTCTATCTTTTAATTAATAAGCTTTAATTTTTGTAATATATATGGTATTTGCATTTTTGTTATTTTTTAGTTTAAGTAATTTTTTTAACTCATGATTTTTATCCCAAGTTTTTACAATTTTTTGCATTTAGGCAGATTTGGTTTGCACTTACATAGATTCAGTTATGAAATTGGAAATTAGGAAATCCCGCCTACCCTTTCCTAATTAAGAAAGGGAAAGGCGACTAAACGAACTGGCGTAAGAGCTAACCTAAATAAGTACAAACAGGCATTAATGCAACAAACGGTTTTTTATCAATAAACATTAAAAAACGAAATACACCCTTCTCAACAAAATTCCAATTGCCGATGAATGTATATTTTGCTGTCTAAAAGTGTATGTACTTTACTTTTCCATATAAGTAAGCAATTCTCATGTACATTCAGACTATTTTTAAAATATTTTTTTTTGATTAATTGACAACTGTGCTGATAACCACCTTATTGACGATTATGCTGATAATTAAGCAAATGAATACATTTTTTTTAGTTTATTCTAGTTTATTTTGCCGTTTAAAAATGTTTACAATGTACAAAAATATAAAAAAGTACACGATTGGCTGGAGTAAAAAGAAGACATAAATTAGCCTTATCACCAAACCCAAACAGAAACGCTTTTAAATAACCGTATGATATAAGAAACAGTATTTAAAAACAAAACAATTTAAGATGTCAAGAAACAAAAAATAAAATAATAACAAAAAAAAAAAAGAAACAATTAAAGTTTAGTAATAAAAATGACAAAATTTTTTGTATTGGGTTTTAAACAGATTGTAGTTAAAAATTAAAATAAATTGAATTTAAGTTGCAATAAAATGTATTGAAGTAAATATGAGATAATTTACCCGTAAATATAAGATTATTTACCCGTAAATATAAGAAAATTTACAAAATTAGTATGCATGTTTAAATTAAATGACAATAAAATATAATATTTTTGCAAGTAACTTCGAAAGTAAATATTTTCAATGAAAGTCGGATAAAGACATTGAAATTCATAATATTAACCGATTTTATTATTTTTGTTAAATGATTTTTAAATTTATGGTGCTGAATTAGTTTAATAACTTCTAAAAGAGAAAGACAAAACTTACTTTTTCAAATCTGTAAGTACTAAATAACGTTTTAATTTAGATTTGAATTGCGGTAGCGTTTTTATTTTTCCATAAAATATATATAAAAAAATATATATAAAAATATAATAGGTCCTTGGTACTGAATAGAATAAGAACATAACTTTAGATTATATTTTTAGTAACAAAAATATTTTCTGAAAACTTGGTGGGGTAGTTATAGCTTACTTTGCTAAAATATGAATATATTATTTTTGGAGACAGTCCATGCTTTATTTTATACATGAACGGTATGACTAGGTATATGTTGATTTTGAACACATTTAATTCATTAAGATTAAATGGCTTTCAAGACACAGTTGTTGTTGCTCCATTTAAAATTCTGCAAGCATGTTTTTGTTTAGAATAAATTTTTTTTAGTTTAGAGTAACATGTGCTTGCCCATACAACATTGCCGTAAGTTAAATAACTATGTATAATATATATATATATATATATATATATATATATATATATATATATATATATATATATATATATATATATATATATATATATATATATATATATATATATATATATATATATATATATATATATATATATATATATATATATATATATATATATATATATATATATATATATATATATATATATATTCTGCATTTGCATAAAATTTTGACAGTAATTGAGTAATACAATACTGAAGTATGTACAGGGCCGTCTTGAAGAGGTCTTCTATGAGGGGGGGGGGGATGTATGTATTTTTTAGCCAACTAGAAACACCAAAAAAAAAGTCCTCAATATTTGCAATTTGACAACTATAGTTCAAAACTTGCTCAATGTGCCAACTCAAATGTACCGTCCCCATCGGGACGGGCCTGACTATGTGACTTGTTGAGTAATACAATACTGTAGTATGTGACTTGTTGAATTTATTTAGTTAGGAGACAAGAATTTTTAATTTACTTTTTAATGTTTTCTAATTTATATACAAAAAACAGCTGAGTATTTGGAATTTTTTAAGCATTTTTAATAAAAACTTGTTTTTCATTCAACTAAATATTTAACTACGTATGAAAGTTATTTTATAACTATAAGTTATAAAATAACTTTCATACGTAGTTAAATATTTCATACGAATACAATAACTTATAACAATATTTTGTTATAAGTTATTGTATTCGCAACAATATTTTGTTATAAGTTATTGTATTCGCAACAATATTTTGTTATAAGTTATTGTATTCGCAACAATATTTTGTTATAAGTTATTGTATTCGCAACAATATTTTGTTATAAGTTGTTGTATTCGCAACAATATTTTGTTATAAATTATTGTATTCGCAACAATATTTTGTTATAAGTTATTGTATTCGCAACAATACTTTGTTATAAGTTATTGTATTCGCAGCAATATTTTGTTATAAGTTATTGTATTCGCAACAATATTTTGTTATAAGTTATTGTATTCGCAACAATATTTTGTTATAATTTATTGTATTCGCAACAATATTTTGTTATAAGTTATTGTATTCGCAACAATTTTTTGTTGCCGATGAATTTTGGGGGATAAGATTGAAAAAAATAATAAAAACTGAAAGATAGTGTAAAACGGTAGCTTGAGATTAACACATATTAAACAGTACAAACAAAATAATTTTTTTTGCTTAGTAATACGACAGTTTTATTTTGGACCCCGAGTAAGTTACTTGTATTAATAGTCTAACTTACTTCACATGAAGTTGGAAAAACTTACTAGAAATGAAATTTGAAATTATTTTTTATTTAAATGTAATAAAATATTATTGTCCAAAAACAAAGATGAAACAAAAAAAAGTAAAGTATTTAACTCCAAAAAGCACTTATCTACAAGTGTAGGAGTACTCCTCTAACCAAGCGTAGAGAAAATTAGTGTTTTCTGTCAGTCGATTCTATTTTTTAATAACGTAAGCAACGTAATTTTTTATATATATTTTTATATCTTATAAATTTTTTAAATTTTTATTGTCCTATTGTTTTAGATATAAAAACAATCTTAAAGGCAAATGAGGTATTTTTACCAACATACGATATTGATATGGTTGGCGCCACAGCGGCCATGTTCAGGCTGCAGGACACTTACAATATTACAGCGAGAGAAATAGCAGAGGGAGAAATCAGTGGTAATTGAGACACTGTCACTGCTTATTAAATTTTAAATTTTTCTTTTTTTTTTTTTACACTTTTTTTAGCTTGAATACCAATTTTTTTTAAGTATCAATAGTAAAGAAGATTTAAAAGTGTAATATTTAAAATAAAAATATTTAAAATAAAAGTGTAATATTTAAAATATTTTTTCAGGAATAAAGAAAACCAAACACAAGTTGACTGCACAACAATGCCTTGAAATTGCTGAAATGGCTCACGATTCAAGACGATATGTTCATATGGCAAGCTGGTTAAAAGAAGCAGAGAGAATTATGAATGATCCTACTCTAAAAGACAGAAGAGGGAACATTACAAGACTACAAATAAATGAGTTCTTAGCATGGATGAACTATTTGGTAGGTATATATATATATATATATATATATATATATATATATATATATATATATATATATATATATATATATATATATATATATTCATATAACAAAAAGTTTTTAATCAATATAAAAAGTTAGGACAAGGTTAAGAACACACATAGAAAATGCTAGATTGTCAAATTACTTAAAAATTTTTATGTAGAGCCGTATTATTCAATTTGAAAGCATAAATAATACTCTTTTACAAGGGGTTAAAGTAGAATATTAAATCAAGTGGAACGGTGTTAGAATGTTCAAATTATTTTTTCAAAGGGATGAAGAATAGCCCACTTGGGTGCTTTTTAACTTCAATAAAAATCAGCGCACAAAGTGAAAAATATCTACTTCTTTAAAGAGATAAATTAGACATTGCGTAATTTATGGACAATCTCTTTGTAAAAAAAAAAAAAATATTAATAATAAAAAAAACTTAAAAACAAGGTGGAACAGTTGCAAAGAGGTATTGAGCGAAGCGGAACGATATCTTGATTTGTAGGCTAAGGAGGAACGACGTTCCCCTGTGTTCCTCCCTACTTTAACCCCTGTTTTTTACAATATACTTTTGTTTCCTATATGTAATATTAAGTTTTCATAACTATTAAAAATGAATTGGTGGAATAAATTAAATTAGATTTTATTAGAAAATAGTTATGAAGGCTAGGTGTGGGATATAACATTAACCCCATAAAATTTAGGCTTTCAAAAATAATCATTTTTAATAAACTAAATATAGTTTTAAAAAAAATTTTATTACAATTTTAAATACTACAACTTTAAAAGTTTGTGTTTTAAAACTTTCTTTTCTTATTTAAATAATGTTATTTTAGTCCAATGACATGAAAGAAGCCCTAAAGTACACTAATCTGGTTCTTAAAGAAGGTTAGTTTTAAATATTTAAATAATTTATTCTGGTTAAATTTCCAAAAGTTTTTACCTTTAAAATAAGCAGGGATAATTTAATAATGTTTTTAAAATAAGATTTGCACTGGAAGGTTAAATCGGAAAAACAATAGGGTTATCGGAAGGATCCAAACTCTCAACACGAACTCCAAATTTATTAATAAACTTTTTGAAAAAAAAATTGCATTTAATTTTTCAAGAAAGATTTAAAAAAACATATTGTCGCATGAGAATTATAAGGTTCTATCTGCCTTGTTTTATGTTGAAAGAATTTAACAATCAAAGTTTAAATTAATAATTAAAAATAAAAACAAACCACTTAAAAAATGATATACTATATATAATCTTTTAACATTTTTAACAGATAACATAAACAACTTATAATTTATAATTATAATAAATAACGGCTGTAAAACATGTATCAAATAAATATTGAAAGTTAAGTTCTTACAACATAAAAAAAGGCAGATAGAACCTTATAATTCTAATGTGACGATATAACATTAGGTTTTCAAAATTTAGCCATTTAAGTCAAATATTGATTCATTTTTATTCATTTAACTCGTGAGTAAACAAGGAACCTTAAGAATATAAAAACATATTGAATTCTGGTTTCTTCAATTTTTAATGTAAAAATTTTGATAAAAAGTATATGGGCGGAATTTTGTTCATTTGAGTCACTGGAGTTCATCACAACAACACTATGAATATTCTTGGCACAAGAGTTATAAATCTTCGAGAATAATTTATAGTAATTTAAATAATATTGAAAAAAAAAATTCTTTTTTATAAAATTGAGATCTACATTGTTAAAAAATGTTTTTTAAATTAATAAATGTCTTTAAAGTGTACATTAATAGAAGACTTTTTTAATATAAAGTTAAATATGTAAATCCCAACTTTAAAAAAAATTCCATCTTCCAATTGTTTCAATGTCAAGTTTTTTGCAGATTGCATTTCTTCGACTAGGGGTTGTTATATAGAAAGCGAGCCAGACCGTTTATTGAGATCTTGACATTGCACGGGGGTATTTGATCAAAAATGTCAATTAAAATTACTTCAAAATTAATTAAAGTTACCGCAACAACAAGAGTTTGTTTATAGTTACCGGAAAAAAAATTTTTCAATATAGTGAAATACTTCAAAAATATATATTTAAGATATATATTTATAGATATCAAACGTATATTTATAATATTTAAAATATTATTTAAAATAATATTTAAAATAATATTTATAAATATAATTTTTATATCTATAAATATTAAGATGTATAAATTCGGTGAATATACAAAAAAAGCTTTTTTTTGCGGTAAATTTGATGTAGCTTTTTTGAAACATTTCAGTTTATTAAAATTTTTTTATTGAAATATTTCACTTTAATGAAGTAAATATTTTTTTATATTTATAAATTTACTTTTGATATTTATATATATACTTCGAAATATATTTTTTTGAAATTTTGCGGTAATTTTTGTTGTTGCGGTAACTTTAATTAAATAATTTTGTTTCAATTTTCTGATCAAATACTCCAAAGTTTACTAATAATGGTTACAACTGTCATTTTAAATAGCATATATATATATATATATATATATATATATATATATATATATATATATATATATATATATATATATATATATATATATATATATATATATATATATATATATATATATGTATATATATATATATATATATATATATATATATATATATATATATATATACATATATATATATATATATATATATATATATATATATATATATATATATATATATATATATATATATATATATATATATAAAGGTTGTAATCTTAATATGGTAGAAAACTTTGTGAATTGCTAGAATGCTCGGAAGCCTTAAAAACCTTAACTTTCATTCCAATAAAACCAGTTCACATATAGAAGTTCGCTTAGCTACTACAGTGCAAAATAGGTTTTTACTTAGAGTTTGTTGCCGTCGAAATTATAAATGAAAAAGATTTTAGAATGTGAATAAGCAAGAAATGAAAAATTCAATAAAAATTGAAAAAATCCAACAAATTTTCAAAAGCAATGGATAATGGTATTTGAAGTAGTAAAAATGTAATTAAGTTTTTTACCCACCTCATTTTTATGGAGTAGTCAACATTTAACTGATAAAGTTTAGTGCGAAAGGAGATGACTGTCATAAAACTAAAGAAACTCTTTATCTTTTTCAACTTCATCTTCATCTGTTGATCAAAACTTGTTAGTCGTCGTAGAAGCAAACATTAATAATATTTTTTAACCTCAAAAAAAGCAAGACCAAAAATTGTTTCAAAAAGGCAGTGACAAAGCGTTTAAGAAAGAAGTATCAGCAGCAACGCAAGAATCAAAAAAAAATTCCACAGAAAGTATTAAGTGAACTAATGACTTAAATTTGTTGTAAGTTGTTGAGCTTTTTTTGAGCTTTATTAAGTTGAGATGAGCCTTTTGCTTTTAATACTATTTTTAGCACAATTATGCTAAAACAAGGACTCAACAAGGACAACAACAATCCTTAGACCAAAATCAACTTTATGAACATCCTTCTAACTTATATTCACCGATGGAACTTGATTCCTTAGTATTATTAACAAATATTTTCTTAAAAAAAACACTTTAAAAATGTCATTAGGTCTGTAAGATTTCTTCACATAAACAATACTTTAGTTTAATTTACAATGCTTAAGCGCACACAATAGAGAATAGCTTTTCCTAGCTATATATTTATGGCTCAATTTGCAAACATTTTCTATTCATGCACACTACCTGGCCACATGCACTCAACATTCATAAAACAGCTTTTATTTTCACATATAGCTTGAACTTTAAAAGTGAAATATTGCTTATAGCGAAAATACCCTGTGAGTTAACTATATTACAAATAGGAATAAAATTGTCATCAATGAATACGTGGGCTTAAGATAATAATACATTGTCTTACAAGTTGAAATTATAACGGCAGTAACAGTGCATGCTGAAATTTCAAAAATATTTGGAATCATGCCCAAAAATCCAGTATATTTCAGGTATTCAAATATAGTAGTTAACTCATTTTTATCTGCCAATATAATAGCTCTAGAGTAAAAGGTAAAAGGATTAGGAGACACAACTAAATCCATAAAAAAAAAGGGAATAAAAACGCTTAAATATTTTTGCACACATCATTAGGACCCATGCTAATTTTAATATTTTGACACCAGTCAGTTTTTCCACCCTTAAAAAATTAGCTACAATTTTTTTTAATCTCAGACACCTCTCCAGCTTGTTTCATCTCTAGAAGTTTCGACGCCAACTCTAGCCAAACAAGCGACACTGGTACGAAAGAAGGCGTAAACTTTTAGTAAAATGCTTTCCCGCGATGCTCTGTGATAAAACCATAAGGACTTCTGTGAGCACCTAAATAACTACAAAATAATAAATAAATAAATAAAAGATGATAAAAAAAAAAAAAAACTAAAAAAAAAAAAACTAAAAAAAATTCCGCCATATAAATATTATATTTGATTAAATATTTTATTGATATGGAAGCCAGCTCGGCATCATTTTTGGAAACCCCAGAATAAGCACAGATGTACACAATCTGATTTGCTGGTTTATTTAAAAGCTTAGATAAATCTTATATTTATATCGTTATCATATAACGATATTTTACATAAAATTTATTTAAAGACATAAAATGAATATTTGTTAGCTCTGGAAAATCTGAAAAAAATAAAATTTTTCTAGATTAAGTTGTTTCAATTAATGACCTTTGATTTGAATGGAAAAATTCCTTTCAATTTAATTTTTCTTTCTAAAAATAAGAAAGTATATTTGGAAGTAATAAAAGGAAGTTTATTTGGAACTAGTCGTTATAAAACAAATCCCATTTTTGTTTTAATGAAGCCATACTTCACGTTCAATTTGGTTAACTTTTCCTACTTTTTCCAACTTTTATTTGGTTTCAATGTCAATATTTTAGTGTCACGATAACAGTAAAAAATTATTATTGTTCAGTAGACAAACAAATAAAGACCACCTCTTACATAAAACTTTAAACGAAATTAGTAACCAACTATTTTACACATAAGTTTTGCATTATCAATTTATACAAATATTGACAGAAATTAATTAAAACCACTTATGACTTATGTTATAATTTCATTTAAGTTAACAAGTTTCTAAAGTTACTAGAATATTCTAGACTAATATTAAAACAATAAAAATGTGATATAGAAAAAGCTCCTTAGAAAAACGCTCTTAAATTTCGATATTAAACGTTTTAAAAATACGCACGCCCCTCTTTCAAAATTAGCGAATCTGTATTGCAAAAATCTGTGCTTATTCTGAGCTAGTAGTTCTAAAATATGCAGCTTTATAACTAAAAACGTGGACCAACCTTGATATAAATTTTAATAAGCATAGGAGTTGCTAATTATTTATATCAGTCCAGAACTCACTGATTTTTTTGCTAGGCAAATAAGTCCTTGTCTGTAGAAACCGCCTTTTCCTTGTTGACTCAAGGCGTATTTAAGACGTATTTTAAAGTTATAAATAATATTTGACTAGCCCGTTGACCACAAGACTTCTAAAATGCGTCCTAAATATGTCTTAAATACGTTATATAAATAATTAAATACGAAACATCTCTTTGCGAAATCAAAGCAAAAGTAAAACATCTGTTTTGCATACTTGTGTTATTAAAGAAAAAAATCTTATGTTTACAAACGTATATTTCTTCTTAAATTATAAATAGTAAGGTTGCATTAAAATTATATTTTGTTTTTCTACACTTTTTTTTTTTTATCTTTAAAAATAATTTATTGAAAAATTCAGTGGTATGCCAAACATATGCTTTACTTTGTAGATTCCACATACGAACCAGCAATTAAAAACAAAGAGTTTTATGAGTTTTATGAACAAGAGAATGTAGAAAAATGGTTAACTCCAGAGCAATGGGACTATAAAGAGGAATTACAAAACGAAATCTTGTTTTATAAAAGTCGATATGCAAAAGGATGTAATGAAAGAAAAAAGAAATTGGTAAAATATGGCCCTTTTTTTACCAGGAAAAATTACAATTGAGTCGGATATCAGATATACTATCACATTACATATATATATATATATATATATATATACACATTTATTGAACAGATATACACATTTTTATTGCTGTTATTATTTCCTTTTCCATTCATCAACTTTAAGGATATATATTTTTTTCTTTTTCACATTTTGTTTCATCTATTAGTATATGAACAAATATTGCAAGAACTTCTATATTGTTCTAGTTTAACAACAATATCAATAATAATACAAATGTGTCTTTTGCCTTAATCTTGATCTCTGCCTTGAGTATACTAAGGCATCAGGTTAGGTATTAAGCATGACAGTTGCAGCATTGACTTTAAGAATTAAAGTGCTAAAATTAAGGTCCGGATAATATTTTTAAATAAAATTAAATGGTATAAGAACTTTCCACGGTCTTCAATATTTTCATGTTGTTGTATATTTGCTAACTCCATTTTTAAACCTATTGTTTTTTAAAATAATAATTCCAATTTGTATGTTTAAAAATTTTACATTTTCAAGTCTCAACATTAACAAAATTCTGTTATTACAACATCTATTGATGTGTATATTGCCTAAATAGTATGCATAGTTAATCTGTAATCCTATCAAATGTAGTTTTTCCTATTTTTATTTCTTTATTGACATACAAAAATTGTGAAAAATTTTAGATCCCAGTAATGCACAGGCTCTAAAAAACAAGCCTATCTATGAATGGTATGTTTTTCACAATCAAAAAGGAAACGAACCAGAGAGCCAATACATGGAAATGGCAAGACAAATCCAAGATGTATTTATTGCTTCTCGTTATGCTCGAGCATGTAGAAGAGATCAAAGAACAAAGACGGTAAGAACCCATCATAGCACGAACTCAGGTTATGTTAGTCTGAAAATGTAATTGCTCAATGTGCAAACTTTATTAAATCCATTTATCTTACTGCTATTATTTTTTTATTAATTAGATCGCAGTAAAAGATGTCAATAATCTTGTATGCTTTTACAAAAACAACAAACCACGCCTAATATTAAAACCTTTAAAAGTAACACGAATGCATGACAATCCTGATGTTCTTGTCTTCCATGAGATGATTACAGAAGAGGTTGCAGAGAAGATCAGAGATGTTGCAAACCCAAGATTGAGACCTTCTGAAGTAATAGATCCAATTATTCAAAAACATGTAACAGCTTCATATAGGGTGTCAAAAAAGTAAATATTTGTTAGTTTTTATAATATTGAATTCATTAATAAATTTAATCAATAATGATACTTTTAGATTTAACATTAAATTTAATCAAGAAATCATTAATAAAAAAGTATTGAATTATAATTGAAAATTTTCAAGTTAATCTGCTTTTTTAGTGTTTTTTTTGATGACGCATTTGAAGAAGAGTTAGAGATTTCAAGAAAACTTCGACCACTTGTTGAAGATGCTACTGATCTAAATGATGATTTCTCAGAACAACTTCAAGTAAGAGTTAAAGTTAATGAAAATTTTTGTTAGTTACCTTAATTAAAAAGGATTTATTATGCTAGCAAAAAAGGTTTTATTTTTTATTAGTTAACAAATTAGATTTATTTTAGGTAAATAATTATGGTTTAGGTGGCCAATATGAATTTCACGTTGATTTCGGGGTAAATAAATGTTTTCTATTTTTTATCTTTTAGATATTTATTTTAATTGAATAATCTTTTAGTTTACTTCTTTAGGATCCAGGCTCACCTTTAGATAAACATGAACATGGTAACAGAATTGCTACTCTATTAATATATGTAAGTAGCCTAAAGTTAAATAATGTATAGAATATTAAAAGAGTTAAAAAGTTATCAGTTTTCTTTTTTGTTTTTTATTTTTGTTTAGTTAAGCGATGTTGAGAGAGGTGGAGACACAGTATTTACAAGACTTGGTCTTTCATTAAAACCAAAATTAGTAAATAAGATTTTAACATTTTATTTTGTGAAATTTGATTTTTGTGTTTAAAAATACAAAGAATGCATATATGTGGTATTAACAATAAATTATTATAATTTTTTAATTGCTTTTTTTTTTAATATAAATATAATCATAACTAGTATATCAATTAAATATTATTTAAATTTGTATATTTAAAAGATAGTTTAGTGTTTTATCAAGTTATTTTTTGTGTTTTTAAAAGTTATTTCAAGTGTTTAAGTGGTTTATCAATAGTAAATCAAGTATAATGTGTATTTATATATTAAAATAAATCGTTGTTAAAAAATCTTTTTAATAACTTTTTATAGGTCTTTTGAAGGTTTTCGGCGTCTTTTAAGATGTCTTTTAAAAAAGATATCTTTTTTAGTTCCTTTGTATAGATTTGACTTTTTTTAAGTTTTTATAAGTAAAACTGTTTTTTAAATAGGGAGATGCAGCTTTCTGGCATAATCTTTATAAAAATGGTTCTGGAATATACGCCACAGAACATGCATCATGTCCTGTAGTTTCTGGTTCAAAATGGGGTAAGATTTTTTAAGTTGTAAATTTCAAAGATTGTCTTTTAAAAAACCTTTTAGCAAAAATATTATAATAATGGCTCTAACTATTTAAACAATAAAAAATAAATTCATATATATATATATATATATATATTTGGGTTGATATATATATAAATATATATATATATATATATATATATATATATATATATATATAAATATATTTGGGTTGATATATATATAAATATATATATATATATATATATATATATATATATATATTTGGGTTGATATATATATATAAATATATATATATATATATATATATATATATATATATATATATATATATATATATATATATATATATATATATATATATATATATATATATATAGTCTCGCATGGTAGTCACAAAGTTTTTCTTATAGTGTACTCAAAAGAGACTTTTATGGTAAAAAAAAGTCTCTTTCGACTACAATTTTTATTACCTTTTAAGCTGTATTTGATTGTCATCGAAATGTCAAAGCAATTAAATTAATGCGGAAGTACATTAAATTTTATTGTTTTTTAAAAAAACCGCAATAATAATGACTAGAAAGTTTTTTTAATTAGTGGTATTTTTGTTTTTGTTTTATTAAAAAATATTTTTAAAACATGCGTAAGTGTTGCAACATCGACTATCTTAGAGCCTGCTGCTACAAGGGAGTGTTGCTACATCGACTATCTTATAGCCTGACTAGCAACAATATATATATATTTATATATATATATATATATACATAAATATATATATATCTATCACATAATTGTATGTGATATATATATATATATATATATATATATATATATACATATATACATACATATATATATATATATATATATATATATATATATATATATATATATATATATATATATATATATATGTATATATATATTTATATATATATATATCAACCCAAATATGTATGTGTGTATATATATATGTATATATATTTATATATATATTTATATATATATCAAACCAAATATATATATATATATATATATATATATATATATATATATATATATATATATATATATATATATATATATATATCACATACAATTATGAAAAAGCAAAATTTTGATGATTGAGTCACATTGTCTACAAAACTAATCTAGTTCTGCTTAAAAATATTTTAAGTCAAATCAAATGTATTATGAGATAGATTTTACATTAAATAGAATATTTACATATTGCTCAAGTACTAATTTTAACACGTAAATGGAAAACTAAAAAACGAAAACAGTTCAATACTTAATCAGAAAATCTTATCTAATAATAATAAATTTTTTCTGTTTAGTTGCGAACAAATGGTTTCATACATTGGGTAATGAGTTTACAAGAAAATGCTCTTTGAACAAAAATGAGTGATCAGTTTTTAGGATTGGAAATAAAAAAGTATGCAGTTAGTATTATTCAATTCTTTCTATCCCTTAAACAAAGCAAGAAATTATGGACACATGGAGATATCTGTTTAACAATTGTAACAAATTTATTTGCTGTTGTCTAGTTGTAATTAAAATTAATGATTATTATTAAAGTTGTGACTACCAAATTGTAACTACCTAGTTGTAATTAAATTGTAACTACCTAGTTGTAATTAAATTGTAACTACCTAGTTGTAACTTTACTATTGTAACTACTTTTTCATATATATTTAATGGTAATACCTATAAATAAATAAATCTATAAGTATATCCGATAAAAAATGTATGCGTAGAGGAGCAAATTTACTGCAAAAAATATACTGGCAAGAAAACCATCTCGCACATTGAATTAAAAGATGCACGGACAGATATCTGATATTAAAAATTTTGTTTAGCTCTAGTTTCATAGTTATCGCTAATTGATTGTTTTTCATTGAATGTGTTGACTTCTTTAGTGGTGTTCTTTTTTTCATATGTTTTTATGCAGCTTAACTGTTTTATCTATTTGTTTCATATTTCATTTTAAAATATAACATTTCATTAATTTTAATCAAACATGCCAAAAAACTGTGTCAGTAATTCGGGTTTGTTCTGTTATATCTGTTACATCGGTTTCACAGAAACGCACATCACACCAGTGATCAAGAAAGCTTACCAATTGTACTTTGGTTGTAATTTAGGAAATAAAGAACAACTCTGGGCTCCTAACCTTTGTTGTACTTCTTGTAGTGCAGGGGTTTCTAACAGGCCACAGCAAAATACGAGCCATGCGATTTTTTTTATGAGCGGTACCCATAATTTGGAGGCAACCAACTGATCAGTTTACCAACCAACTGATCAGGTTACCTCTTACTTTTGCATTTTGATGATACCAATGACAACGTAGAAGCTTCAAAATCATCAAATTTAAAAGATGTAATATTTTTACAACTGCAAATGACGATGATTCTCATCAAATCAAATTTCTCAAAATGAACTTAATAGTCTGGTTAAGGATTTGTAGATTTGTAATGACTTAAAGTTCGTAGCACCTATTCTAGAATTGCAGCTCGGTTATAAAAAGTTCTGGTGCTTTCTCTGTGAGTGGGATAGTCGAGCTAGAGCAGATCATTACATCAAACAGGAATGACCTAAGTGAATGTGATTCATGTAGCACTTGTTGAGCGCAGTAAAGTTCTCCTGCTCCTTCTACATGTAAAACTCTGCCTGATAAAAAATTTTGTTAAGGCCTTTAATCAAGATGGTACAGCTTCCCTTAATTAAACCTGGAGAAAATCAAGTTGTTGTATTTGTAGGTCAGCAAATACGAGAGCTAATAGTGAATATCCAGTTTGACAACATCCTTAATGGAAATGAGTAGACTGAAAGAATTTTAAATCGGTGAAGAGGAACCACAAAGCTAATAATTACCAGAAAGTTGTTAAAACCCTATTGAACTCATATCAGACACAAGGCTGCAATATGTCATTGAAGCTACACTTTCTACACAGTCATCTGAACTTTTTTCCTTCCGAGGAAGCGGACATTAGCATCGAATTTACTGAACGCTTTCATCAGAAGGTGGCTGAGATGAAAAAGCGGTACGAGAATCAATGGAGCACCTCAATGATGGCAGATTACCGTTAGACAGTTTTAAGAGAATGTCTAGAAACTGTGTACAAGCAAACATAGAAACGCCCTAGAGTTTCTAACGTGAAATGTTTAAACCTTTTGGTTTTTTTTGGAATGCCAAAAGAAACATTCTAAATAGGGAATAATGAAAAAAGTAGTTTATTTGGACATTTTTAAGAAGTCATATTGTATCTTCGGAAAATAAGGTTAACGGAAAGCCATTTATTTTTTAAGAAGAAAACAACCCAAAGCTTAAATCCCAAATATATTTTTCAAAACATTGTTTAAGATACTTACTGAGTTAAAGAATAATCAAATTCTAAATAGAATGATTTGGCCTCCCCAATCTCTCTCCTGTTGGAATTTTATAAGAAGAATAAAAGGTAAAATCAAAATTTAATACCAAATGATGCAAAAAAAAAAAAAAAACTTGTTAGTAGGCGACATAAAAATGACTTTCGTTGGTCCTTAACTTAACAACTTATCCTTCAAATTGGATAAGTCGTTAAGTAGTATGCCAAGAATATGTAAAGGAGTTATTATCGCTAAGATTGATTGAAATATTTCAATTAAAAAAAATTAATTACGAATCATACATTTGGTAATTTTTAAATGGGATATTCATTTACAACTTTGTTTTGAAAGTTAAAAAAGAATGTTCATTTTAACACTGTGCCCATGTAAACTCTAACAAATATTTGGGAACCATTTAACGGTTTGTAGACCTAAATATATCTTTAAATTTAGCTCTTTTTCTTTGCCACATTGCCTCAGTTTTACGTGCAACTACATTCGTTGCGGGATCAGTGAAATGTAAAGTATGGTTTGTTACAAATGTAATAAAAACCTTGCTCTGCTAAACCTCTATAAGCTGCGCATTTATTATTCCATATTTCGTTCCAGTACGAATCTATTTGTAGAAGGGTTGCTGCATCATGATGCGCCTCAGAAATAGTCCCTCTTTGTTGCAATTTCATACGCCCCAAAATTCCCTTGATCTTTCAAAATTCTATTCAATTATTTAATTCTTGAAAAAAAGTGACTCGTCTGATTCCAGTATTGAAAATACTTCGAAATCAAAAAATTCCAAATTCCAAAAAAATACGGATCTTTAAGATTCTAATCACCTCTTTTTTTTTTTTCTAATATAATAATTACAGATTTTTATAATAGAAATTAGTTTAAACAAATTAATTTAAACCAAAAGCATTTCAAACTAACAGAACAAATATCAGCAAATATAACCATTTCAAAATCTGATTAATTATTTTAAATTTTTGCATCACTATAATTACTGTACTTATACATGGGCTGTGAGAATAAAAAGGAAGGTGGAAACTATGATTCAAATCTAATGAACAGGAAGTAGGGGAAAAGGAGTTTAATTAAAAGGATGGGTGGGAATTTATTACAGAACACGCTTAAAGCAATTTAATTTTAGTGTGATATGTGGTCAACTGCGCATTTTTTAACAGCTGTATTATCATAATTTCAATAGGATTTAGTATGCTTGTATAACCTTTATATTAGTACCAATATAAAGAAAACTAGTCTTTGATTTATTCCTAATTTTCGACAAATCTAGATTTTTTATTGGTTGACGAAATATAAAGCCGGTTTATACAAAGTTTTTATTTTTATCAGTAACTGATATATATATATATATATATATATATATATATTATATATATATATATATATATATATATATATTTTATAAATATAAATAAATAGGGGAGAGCGGGGTTGGTTGTCACACTTTTTACATTTTAGGCTGCTCAGCTTTTAATTTTCATCCAATCAATGCCAAACTTTGCGCAAAGCTAGTTTAACTATTTCCAGTAACTATTATAATATTTTTATGACATTGAGTGAAATATTTATTGCTGTAAAATCATTTTTCAAAGACCGCTTCTGTGTGACAACTAGCCCCGCTCACGGGGTAGGTTGTCACATGGTGCGGGGTTGATTGTCACATTTGGATTTTGACAAGATTAGATAAGAATTTAATGTAAAACGAGTACAAATTAATTTCGTTTATGTTTTACTAAGAAAAATAAAAATAAAATACTATAAACTGAAATATATATATTTTAAATATAACACAATTAACAAGTTTAGTTTATCACTATAAATGTTTTTAGGTTTGGTTTTTTAAAAATTATTGGATAAAGAACACAATTCACAAATAAACTGTTGTAAGCCTGGTGTGCATTCTTCATGAGGCCATTTTTGGCAAACCTGACATTGAATCCACTGTTCTCTCGATCGGCTGTTGGAAAATGATTCAAAACAATAGATGCACAGATACTCTTCATCTTCAGATGAATTTAAGACTATAGAAGGTTTTTTCATAGCAAGATTTGATTTTATTAATTCTTTTTTACTTACCATTAGTAAATTTTTTTTTTTATTAGTTTTCTTCTTTTTATAATTAGCAAGCCATGCTTTGACAGACGTGTTCGTAAGAATCATAGTATTGACCGCTTTTTCCTACCTCTTTTTGATGCTAACCTCGGGCCTGCTTTAAGCAGAGGCCTAATACTCTCAGGTGGTATGATTGAATTGTTAAAACCTAATGTTGTGATTGGGTTCTGATTAGAGGTTTTATTTGATACAACTGGATCTTCTATTGTTATGTCTACCTGATTATCTGGTTTCTGAATAGATTCTTTAAATCTTTTATTTGATGGTTCTGGTTGCATTGAATAAGATTCATAGTCTTTTTTATTTGAATCAGCCTGTGAACAAGGTGGGTCAGGGCGATCAGTTACATAGTTAGGACAGTAATCATTTTTAGTAAACACATCAGGATTTAACGGGTAAATACCTGTTGCAGAAAAACCACTTAAAATATTGTGGGGAGATACAGCCTTAGGAAATGCAATGTTTACTATTTTTGGAATATCATATATTGTAGCAGTTTTTCCAGGATTCATTACTAACCATGATGTCATAGCAGTATTTATGAAGTTTTTGAGAGGACCATAAACTGCCTTATCCAAGGGCTGCAACTTATGTGTGCAATGTGGTGGGAAGGTAAGCATTACTATTCCATTATTTTTTGCCAAATCTAATCCTTCAATACTAAGATGAGTTTCGTGATTGTCAAGCAACAATAAACAAGACTTTTCTTTAGTACATTTTGTATTGCCTAAAAAATGTTTTAGATATTTTACAAAGTTTTCTTCTTTCATCTAACCACTTGGATTTGCATCTCCTGCACTTCCTGTTGGTGCACTGATTAGAAAACGATCTTTAAAGTTTTTACGAGGAAAAATAAAAAAGGGTGGAATACTATTTCCAATAGCATTTATTGTGCATGCTAATGTTACAAGAGTTCATCTTTCAGCTGACGTGATGGCTCCTACTTGTTTTAATCCTTTTTTCGCAATAACCTTTTTAGGTTGCTGTACAGTAGTTACAGCAGTTTCGTCCATGTTCCAAATGTCATTTGGTGAGAACGAGTATTTTTGCATACAGTGCTGCAAATTGCTAAAAAATGATGCAACATTCTGCTTATTGAAACTTGTCGCTCGACTTAAACTAGTAGCTTCAGATTGCCTAATGGAAATATTTGAATGGCGCTTTA